GGCTTGGCTCAGAGCTGCCATCAGGGAGGGCCTGCCAGGCCCTGCTGCGTGTCACACCTTGTCTCCCTGGTATGTTTCTGGCAGCTGCCAGTAGAAGGACTCATGGCCAAGTTGGGCAAAGTTGCCAAAAGAAAGCTGGGCGCCCTCGGGCACAGGTTCCACGGTGAAGCCTCCTGTCAGGTGGCTGTTTCGCTGCGGGTTCACCAGGGCGAAGCCTTGGAAGTCCCCGGGGGCAAAGCGCGTGGAGATCTGGCAGGGGAAGGAGCATGGGTGTTAGCCTGGGCACTGGGGCAGGTACCCTGGTGGGGGAGGGGCACAGGAGAGCATTAAGGTGGGCAATGGGGGGTTGGTGAGATCAGGGCTGGGATAGAAATAATGGGGAAACAGAGAGGATATTGGGGGAAAGGAGCGGGGTTGGGGGTCAATGTTGATGTAAGCAATAATGGGGCATAGGGAGGGCATTAGGATAGGGGGCGAGGGTTGCTGGGGTCTGTGCTTACATGAGCAGTATCGGAGGCATGGGGATGGGCATCCCTATAGGCAATGGGGGACACCACTGGGCCAGGCTTCTCACCTGCCCTGGTGATGACCCAGGAGAGGCAGGTGGCAGGCCCCGGTGCTGGGGCAGTGAACAGGCTCTTACCAGGTGGCGAGTGTAGGAGGAGCTGGAGCACTGCTGGGTGATGCCCATGCAGAAGCAGGGCAGGCAGCCGTCCGGGTTGCTAGCGCTCAGGTGGAAGTGGTGGGGCCGGCAACTGTCGCAGGTGAGGCCTTCCACCTGGGCCTGGGAGGAAGGATGGACAGGTGGGTGCAGGGGGTTGGGACAGGCCACCTGCACCTCTAGTAGCCTTTGAGGCCAACCTTCCCAGACACTTCTGGCAGGTGTGGGGAGCCCCTGCTGCCCCCATGCCTAGGCTGCGGTTCCCATCGGATGCTGCCTGATTTCTCAGCAGACCCCGAGCAGTGGGGCAGAGGTGGGTTTCATGACAAGGAAGGGTCACAGGGGCACAGGGACAGCGCCGAGGGTATGATGAGAGGGAAGGCCTGGCCACAGCCGTGGCTGTGGTTCAGGGCTTTGTGGAGGGCAGGGGTTTGGACTAACCTTGCACTGGCACTGTCCAGCGGCGTCACACTGGTTGCTGACGCTGCCCTGAGGGTCACAGCCACAGTCAGCCGGCTCTGGCAGTTGGCCGTCTCCTGAGGTGGAGGGAATTCACAGTTGGAGCCCCAAACCTGCCCCTGAGCACCCCCACTTCCACTACCTTTTGGGCATCTAACTCACCACCTGAGAGAGGGAGTGTTTGTGTCTGAACACCTACCATGCGTAGGCATTATACACATTCACAGCAGCCCCCTGGGGTGGGTGGGCCTTTTACTACTCCCATTTTATGGATAAAGAAGCTGAGGTTCAGAAAGGTAAAGTCACTTGTCCCAGGTTGAAGGAGAACACAGGCTCTGCCCCAGCTCCACCCCTGAGGTGGCCTGATCCCAAAGGCCTCCCCAACCCTACTCACTTCGACAAGGCTGGCCCTGGCTGGGGTTGCCATAGTAACCTGGAGCACACCTGCAGAGAGAGAAGGCATTGCATGAACGGAGGGCAGAACCACAGAATCCTGGACTGCGCTGGGGCCCCGCATTGGATTCAGTGACCTCAGAGTGCTGGAACCAGTCAGCCTCACTCACCTATTTCACAGATAGGGAAATAGATGGGAGAAGAAGGGCAGGGGCATGCCTTAGGTCACAGAGCCAGTGCTTGGCACAATCAAGCCTTGAACCTATTTCAGCAAGAAAGAGGGGTTTCCTGGGAAGGCTCTGGCCTGGCTGGGGCAGGGGGTGCAGGGGTTGGAGGTGAATTGTAGGCCTAGATCTCTGAGGGCCTCAAATGCCAGACTAAAGGTTTAGGCTCTTAGGCAAGGGGAGCTGACTGTCTTCTCGGGGTCTCTGAAAGTGGGGGTAGAGGCTGCTGGTCCCTCATGGTCAGGAGGGCTGGGCCCACTCTGACTCCAGGGGCAGCCCCTCCTGCACGCTCCCCACCCCGCCTGCGCCTGCCTCACCTCTCACAGTGACGCCCACTGTGGCCTGGGGAACACGCATCACAGGTGGGGTGTCCGTCTGTGTCCAGAAAGCAAGTGTGGGTGGCCCTGCGGGTGTGGGGGCAAATTTCCAGTTAGAAGGTCAGTAGCTCTTCCTTCAGGACCAGGGGAGGAGGGAGAGAAGGAGCAGGCATGTGAACTAAGGTGTCCTGAGCACCAGCTACGTGCCAGGCACTGTGCGAAGGGTTTCTTGGGCATCATCTCATTCTCACACCAGGGGCCAGAGTTGGGTACAGCATTATCCTCGTTTCACAGATGAGGAAGTTGAGGCCCAAGAGGGAAGTAAATCTTAGACAAAGTGACACACCAAAGAGGTGGTAAGGCCAGGATGTATCCACTGCCTCTCAGAAGGTCCTGGGAGGAAGGGAACCTAGGAGGGGGCAGCGGACATTTCAGGAAAGGACAGGTACAGGCAGGGGCTGGACGCACTGGCCAGAGGCCGGGGCTCCGTGGCACGGGCATGGCTGGCAGTCCTGTGGTGTCCCACGCTGGGCATCCCCGTAGTATCCCGGCTGGCACTGCTCACACCGAGGACCCTCTGTGTGGTGCTGGCAGCCCTGGGGGGCAGACCGTGCGTTGAGGCTGAGCCCCTGGAGGCCACAGATCCCTGGGGTAGGAAGGAAGGAGGGTGGGACTCACCTGGCAGGAACCTGTTTCAGGCTCACAGACCTCCGTGTGGCCATGGCAGCTGCAGCGTTCACAGGTGCCCAGGTAGAGGCCGCTGGGCATGCGTGTGTAGCCTGTGTCACAGTCCTGGGTGGGGAGATGGCAGTGGGAAGGACTTCCTCAGCAGGGTCCCTTCTGGGCAGGGACCACTGGGTGGCGGGGTTGGGGTGGGCCTGGGGAGGTGGAAGAGCTAAGGGAGGAGGAGCCAGAGAGCCCATGGAGGGAGCTGGCTGGACAGGTGGGTGGGGCCCAGGGCTCACCTGGCAGGATGGGCCACGGTACCCAGGTGGGCATGTACACTGCTCCACTTCCAGTGCAGGGTCCTGGCCGGTGTCCTCGGGTATAGCCACATCCATGCTGATGCCAGAGACCCTGGGTGTGGCAAGACCCACTATGAATGAGCACTCGTGCTGTGCCAGGCATCCCTAGAGTCCTATACACGATCACCTTGTTAATCTTCCCAATGGCCCTGTCGTGATGCAACTGGGGCCCATCCAGCTCTCTGACTGGGCATCCATCCAGCTGCTGCAAGAGCTGTGGTAAGTGGCTTATACCTGCAACTTTCTCCAGAGAACAAGCCTTCCTTGCTAGAAGAGGTCACACTCCCTTGGGGTGACCAACGACAAACTGACCCAGGGTACAAAGGTCCCTTTGCCTCAAGGCAGGATGACTCTGCAGGGCTCCAAAGGGATGGGACAGAGGCTGGTCTTTTCCAGAAATCACTTCCTTGCCTCGCCACTTCCCTCTCCTGTGTCCCTCCCTTGCTCCCAGGTTCTCCTTGTGAATCATGTGCACCCAAATCCGTCTCAGGCTTTGCTTCTAGGGAACCCGACATAAGACAAGCCCTGTGAGGGAGGTAATGTTATAATCTTTTTACAGCTGGGGAAAATGAGGCACAAAAAGGCCACATAGCCCGTAAGCGGGAGAGCTGGCCGTCTGGCTGTACTGCATCCCACTGCTTAGCCTGGAGCCGCCTACCCAAGCCCCCCCCCCGCCCTCCTGCCCTCCTGCCCCAGACACCTGCTCTCAGCTGGCCGCTGGGTGTAGGATGCCTGGATCAGGAGGGTGTCAATGCCCGCCAGTGCCATCAGCAGGTGCTCCCGTGTGGCCGGCTGCCCATCAGGACGCTGCCATGCTTGCTGCCAAGGAAAGGACATATGGGCTGTAACCCCTGACATCCTGACACCCCTGAGTGACAGGAGCAGGGAGCCTGCCTGCCTCCCCCCAGAGGTGTCCTGGGAGGGTGCCACTCACCTCTCGGAAGGGCACAGTGAAGGTGCTGGGCTGGCCGGGGCTTGGTTCCTGGGAGGTGTGATGCTCCAAGACAATGTTATTGCCCTGCAGTACCACCAATGGCTGCCCGTGCAGGGGCGCGGAGCCAGGCTGGGGCTGCTGGGTTACTGTGAAACGCAGCTCTCCTCCGTAAGAGGTCACCTGTGACACAAGGTGGACAGGCGCTCAGCTGGGGCCCCCACTGTTGGGCCCTGCTACTGCTCTGGCCACCTCTAAGCCTCTTCTCCAAACGCACCGTGCTGCCTGGAATTCCCTCTCTCTTCCCACTCCCTGCCCACCTTGTCCCCCAGGAAGCGAGAAGGGAGGTTCCAGAAGTAGGGTCCAGACAGGAGGCTGTGGAATGAAGAGAAGGCCAGTTCCCCGGGCCTGGGTGACGAGATGCCCTCGCTGGTGGTGTGGGTGCCCACGGCATTGGTCAGGCTGAACTGAGCAGGCTCCTCAGAGGCCCCAAGCACCTGCGAGGGGGAGAAGAGGCTGTGGTGGGGGCCGTGGCCTGCGATGGCCCTTGGCTCACTCAGCCCTGG